ACCCCTGCTTGTGCTCTCTATCTTTCTCTCTCCCAAATAAATAAATAAAATCTTAAAAAAATAAAAATAAAAATGCACTGTTTTCTGGGGCTTCTGGCTGGCTCAGCTGGAAGAGCATGCAACTCTTGATCTCAGGGTCATGAGTTCCAGCCCCACGTTTGTTTTAGCGATTACTAAAAAAAATAAATAAATGAATAAACTTAGAAAAAAAAGGACTCATAGGTAAACTTTAAAAAAATAAATAGAAATGCAATGTTTTCTAAGAGAGTTTATGGAATGAAATACACTCAGTAGACTTAACATTTACATGGTCTCCTTCTTCCCAATCTGATTCTTTCTTGGTGCAGAGAAAAGCCTGGCTTTGAGCCAGTGTGCTTCTAAGTCAGAGGGTCCTGAGTTTTACTTTTAACTCCACTTTTAAGATCTTCTATCCCAGTTTCCTTGTCTATAAAATGAGAATAATAATATCAACCCCATAGCATTCTTGAGATAATTAAAAGAATATTATAAAGAGCTCACGCACAGCAGCTGACCCAGAATTTGGGCCTAAGAACTATTACTCTTCTTCTCTTCCCTTGATGCTTACCCCCAGAACACATATTTCCAAACAGCAGTGACCACATCCCTGAGCCAACAAGCAACCCACTAAGGGTACACCACAGGCAAGCAAGAATTTTCTTCAACAGAACCACAAGCCCAAAGCCGGGGTGCTACAGTCAGCAAAGAAAAATGTAGCACAATTAATATAAACCACATTTCCCCCTAAATCAAATAAAAACCCTGCAAAATTTATCAACCACTAAATTTATAAGACTATAAAGTATACAGAGTATCTGGTGATTGAGATCTGGTCCTAACTTTCTCTTTGGTGAAAAAAAAAAAGAAGAAATAAACATAGCATGTAATCATGTTAATTATTTATTTCTTCACTGAGTTAGACACAAAAAGGGATTATAAAAGTATCCAGTTTTATGTGGGTGGCAGTAAAGCTTGAAAGCAAAAGGAGTCACCAAACCTAAACAGCGTTAGGACTATCAAGTCTTAATTATGAACAATGTTGGGTAATTTGTCTTTACTCGATGATTTCAAAGCACCATATCCCAACCTCCATCAGCTCTAACTCCAAAATCTAGTGTAATTATTTTCCTTCTGATTTGTTCCTCTAGAGGAGCAAACTTTATCCCCTCTAGTATATCTACATTCTAGAAAATGCCAACCACAATAAATGCTAAAAACTATTTTTCAACTCTGAATCACAGGGAGGAGAACAATGTGATTACTGTAAAAGTTTTGGAGGACTTTTTTTTATTGCTGAGATAAGCAACTCAACTAACCAAGAATAACACAAAAGTGCTCACTAAATGACATTTAGTTGTATAAGTACATGTTTAATGTAGAGTGTATCATATGTGATATATAACCAAGCCATCTTTCCGTCCCCTTTTCCTCTATATTTTCCACCCATCTGTCCTAACGGGATCTCATGGTGCTGTAACCTCCTTTACTTCAGACCATTCGAATGCCACTAGCTCATCAGCTACAAGCAGAACCTTGTCTTTGTCGTCATCATCTTCAGAACAATGCCACAAGATTATAGATGATGAAAGGCTCTTCTGAGACCACAGTCTTTTGTCCTTCTAATTCTCCTCCTCTCAAACTTAAACTGAGCACGCCCGGCATTCCATGGGGACTGAAAAGTCCCTCAAAAACCCCACCACCATCATTCGTTTCCGTTTCTCACACCTTATCCTGTTTCGTTCACCTTCCAGCTCAGCCTGGACTCCATGGCTAGTCATGTCTGCAAATTACTCTCTACATAGTTCATACCAGGTTAATCCCTCATTCTTCTCACTCCCGTTGTCTTTTTCTGTTTTGTTCCTGAGCTACAAAATATTGCAGAAGAGATGAAATCCTGTAAATTGGTATCAGTATAATTTAATGCTTTCCAGTTCTAGGTGAGTTTTTCTGATATTTTACAATGCTTTTGTTCCTTAAAGTGAACTACCTTTGGACTTCCACAGACTGTGGTCCCAAACCCTCATCACTTCCATCAAATACCCAGCCCTGTCTTTAGCCCTGGCCACTCAAGAAATGACCTGTCCTCCCACTTTACTATGATGATCCCTAAACTTAGCTCCCTTCATCCTCAATCTCTCTGGATCTTTACCTTTTTCTCCTTCCGTCTCCTTGGTATTAAAGAACGTTAACCCCATCCCGACCCCACTTGCTAAATATAAGCAGTCAAGAATACTAATTACTTAGCCTTAACTATGGAAGTATAAAGTTTTGTACAACTTACTCACTTTACTTTTAAAAGCCACTCTTAATTTTAATTATTTCATTATTTTATTATTTTTTCTTTATTTAACAATATTTTATATAGAATTTACTTTCTGGCACATTTTACACATGCAAACCGATTTGCTTTTCATAATAATCCTATGAGGACTCTTCTCAAGACGTTAAAAGTAGTGCAAATATTTAGGTTGGCTAAGCTAGTGGGACACAGAATAGACAAAATATGAAGCAGACACAAAGAGAAACGCCATAATGAGAGATTGCATGGTCCAAGAAAAACAGAGAGAATAAGCTCTATTCCTGAATTTCTACTTCTCAGGTCCAGCCCCATGTAATAATTTGCTATTTCCTGCCCTGGCCAGTAACTGACTGCCTTTTGGGCCTGCTGTTTACACCAAATAAACCCTAAATACCACCACCACTCTGGCACACAGGTTTTGTTTTTTGTTTTGTTTTGTTGGCTTATGTTGGTTTGGTAGGGTTTCAACTACTTGTTAGCAATCACATGTATGTATGCGCATCTCTGCGTGTCTCTATAAAAAATACATGCACAGAGTCAAGAAGAATAAAAACAAAAATAAAAGCATTTCTGGCGAAAAAATACGTGAAGGTGTAGTGAAAAACATTGAAAAAAAGTACTATAGACAACATTTAAAAATCAAATTTTTGATTCTTTATTCATATTTCTTCTAGCTAAAATATATTGTGTGACACTGTGTGTGACACTTTTCATAGTGGTTTATACAGTCATCTATCAACTTCCTAAATTTGCTTCCATAATGCTAAAGTCATCATGATGTTTTTATTCTCCAAAAAACATCTTCTGATTACATAAACTATTTCCATGAGGAAGTTTCCCCTTTCCTGTGTTTACTTCCCTTTTGTAAATTTGTCATACCACCATTTCTTCACGTTGCATTATATGACCACAGCAGTATTTACTTAATCGGGATGACTTCCGTAAACATTTAGAAAACAATTTTAAGAAAATAGAAGTGAAAACCTAGTTTAGGGCAATTTTTAAAAATCCTTTAAAAATCCTTTTAAAAATCCTTTAAAAATTGCCCAAAGTTAGTATTTTTTCATGTTTCTTGGTGTAACTCGAAATGATTGTAAATAATTGCAAATTGCTCGAATCATCAGGATCTTCACTACATGTGCAGCAACAACAGAAGTTAATTAAGGGAGTATATTGGATAGATATTAAAGAATGTCAAGCCAAGAGTCTGGCATTTACCCAATTTTGCATCTCTTGTAAAACCTGTCCTAGCACCTTCTACACCATGAGTGCTTAGTAAAGGTCTATCGAATATCCACTAGCTCCTCATTTCCTGCCACATCCTCTGATTTCTCATCACTCTGCATCCCACACACCATTTAGTAAATGGTGAATTTGTGCACATACAGTCATGCACACACCTTCAGATGAATTTAAGAGCATTCCAATGGAGGTAAAAACTGAACGGGTTTCTGAACAAGTAGGGTCGACACACAGCCTTCAGTGACTAGGTCCTGCCTCCATCGGTCCCCTCTCCCTGCCTCACAGGTGAAACTCCAGATGTATAAACCGCCGGGTGCTCCCAGTAGACACAATGCTCATTCCAGCCTCTATGACTTTGCATATTTGGTCATGTTGTTCTAGAATGCTTTTCCCACCCTTCAGTCTCCCCATTCACTTGGGGAAATCCCTCCTTTCCAACCCTAGAGAGACTTCTCCAAAGATCTCTGAGAATTCAGCCCACTCCAATAAGAAGCAAGATTAGGGGTTCCACGTCCATGCTCCTATCATATCCTGGACATACTCTATCATGTCATTTACCAGGCTTCTTCATAATATTCTATTTATATGTCTACTTCTCCTATTAGACTGAAAATTTGGTAGCAATACAATGCATCTTATACTTTTTTTGTATTCCTGGGACCTAACTTGATTCCAAATTCATAAATGCTAACTTATAAATGAATAGATGGAGAAACGAAGGGAGGGAAGGATTTAAATAGTGAAGAAATCAATCTGTGGCTGATAATTTTAGCAGCAATATGAAAGATGGGGGGCATCTGTTTGGCTCAGTTGGTTAGTCTTCTGCCTTCAGCACAGGTCATGATCCCGGCCAGGGTCCTGGGATCGAGCCCCGCATCAGGCTCCCTGCTCAGCGGGGAGCCTGCTTTTCCCTCTCCCACTCCCCCTGCTTGTGTTCTCTCTCTCTCCTTCTCTCTCTGTCAGATAAATAAAATCTTTTTTAAAAAATATGAAAGATGGAAGTATTTTTCAAGACTCTTTTATTCTAAGCAATGGCAACATGACTCCAATTAGCTTAATAAGGAAAGAACATCAACAGCTCTATCACAATGAAAGTCCATGGATTAAGTCGGGCAAAGCTAGATTCAGGTGCCCCAACAATGTCCCAAATAATCCTAGGTCTGCAAGGGCCCGTGCCTTCCTCCGTGGCAGCTCCGTTTTCAGGCAGGCTCCCCCAAGCAATGGCAAGACTCCAAGTTTCTATCTTACCGATTTAGCAATCCCAGCAAGAAGCAAAAGCCCTTCAATTCTCTTTGTTCCAGCACAAATGGCATCTTCTCTGACTCGGCCAATCTTAAATCACTGGCTCCACTCTGGGCAAAGGCACAGGCAGGAAGGAGGGACCCACACTGCCAGAAGGTCACAAACTCCCCTCCGGAGCTCAAAAGCCAAGTTATCGCACCTTAATCGTGTGGACTGATAAGGGCAAGGATGAGGGTTCCTGAAGGAAAACTAGGGTTCTGTTTGAAGGAAGAACGGGTGCCAGACAGGTAGAAAGAGCAGTTGTAGTAGAGACTGGAAGGGGAGGTTAGCACAGATGTGCAACCGAGTGCCCTTAGGCGGGGGCGGGGGGGGGCAGTAGCCAATCTCAGGAATTAGTGACACGCTCCCTTCAGAGCAGAACCATTATCCAACAAGCTAAAGCTGTTAGGAAATGGGAGGGAGAAGCGTGGCAATTATGCCAGCACAGCTCTCAAGGCAAGCCAGGGTAAAGCAGAGCCACACCATTCCTTCTTGGTGGCTGATGAACAAGATCCGTGCCCAGCGCAGAAGAGCAACCCAAGCTTTTGCAAGCAGATTGCAATGTATTAGTCAAATCTGAAAGATACAGTACCAATTACAGGGTAAAGTGAAATTTAGTACACTGAATATATATTTTAGAGATAACTTCATTGGGTTAGTGATTGCATGGATTTACAGCTTGCACGTACAAAAGTAGCATTCAGCACATCTTAAAACAAGAGGCAGTTTGTTTATCGTGGTGGGCTTTATAACACTGGTGCTCCTAAAATTTTCTGAAACTTAGTAGGGGGTGAATTAAATGAATTAAATAATGGAAAGTGATACATTATGGAAAGAAAAAATACCTTTCTACTCACTTCCTGAATGCCAATAATTCTGATTAAACGAGTCTTAGAAGGAACACTGTAGATAATTCCACAGATAATGGGTTAATTCTTGAATGTGTCATCCTTTTGGCTGCTACTATAAGTAGATTGAAATTCCCCTCTTCCTGTGTATTTGCTAACGTCAGTACTTTGGGCTGGGTCTGGGAATCATTACAGCTAATACTTTGTATTGTTTGAGCAGCCAGCTCTTAATGCCCAAGGCATAGAGATAGTCATAACTGAAATGTTTTCCCATAAGTGGATTGGGGAGAATTTTTACTTTTATTCCCATTTTATATAGGAAACTCAAATTTCAAACAAACACTGGATTTTAAAAATCTGTTCTAAGATCTCGAAAGAATATAGATGCCCCCTCCTTTCACAATTCCTGACTCTGAAAATTTTAAAAGACAAATTAAAAGATGTTTTTCCCCCTGTTTACATAGGAATTCACCACAGAGTGTTCTTGTTCAGGTAAGTGTCTTCATCAGTTCAGGCTGCTAAAACAAAATACCATACACAGGCTGGCTTAAATAGTGAACATTTATTCCTTATTGTTCTGGAGGCTGGGAAGTCTAAGATCAAGATCTGCAGTTTCAACATCTGGTGAGAACCCTCTTCCTGGTTTGTAGGTAGTCCCCGTCTTGCTGTACCTTCACATGACAGAAAGGGAGAGAGAGATCAAGCTCTCTGGGTGTCTCCTCTCATAAAAGCACTTAATTCCATCCTGAGACTCCCACCCTCAGAACCACATATAGACTTAATTACCGCCCAAAGTCCCCATCTCCTAATACACCATCACAATGGGGTATATGGTTTCAACATTGGAGTTTGTGGGGGGCATATTTAGTCCATAACAGGAAGGTTTTAAAACACTACTTCTATTTTATTTAACAAATATTTATATTCCACAATATGTGCTGATGTTTTACAAATGTTAACACTTCTAATACTTGATAACAACCCCGTGAGGCAGGCATTACTTGCTCTCCTTTAGAGAGGAAAACCGGGAGCCCAGAGAGATGAAATAAATCTGACCCACAATCAGAAGGTCATGGGGCCAGAAAGGATGTAGCTGTGTCCAATCTTCAGGGCTTTACCACACAGTCTCTGTTCAGGAGGCAGACCAGCTCCCTCCGCTTCCAGCCCTTCTCAGGGCAAGTAGGATACCAGAATATCTCCCGCATCAGTGAGGTCTGTGCTACCCTGGAGAATCTATTGAAACTATCCATTTTAATCCCAAAACAGATATCCAAAACTCATGCTGAAAAGTGAATTGCCCCAGGGAGACGTCCTCAGCTACACAGACTGCAAAGCTTTGTTGGCATTCTTAGAAAACTGAAATACTTGGCCGGTGTTTCCCAAGAGGATCAATTCAGGAGGCAGATAAGTTCAGATGACTGTGCAGTGGAATAGCCTAGTAATCTAGTATTTACATACTTGGAAACACATCTGTTTGCGACTCAGAGGAGTAAAGGTGGAAGTTCGCCAGGTCCTGGCTCTCTGGTGTCCATGATCCCTTCTGTCAGTCCTAGAAAAGGTGGACCTCCCAATCTCAACACAGCCCTCACTGCTCCTGAATGACTGTCGTGAAAGGAAACACAGTCTCCTAGACAACCAACAGTGGGGCTCCAGGAATTACTAGAGTGTGGGAAGTCCCAGAAAAAAAAGAAGACAAGAAATACGACAGGTTACCAACTGTATCCTAAAATAAACCCCGACTTAGCCTGAGGCGCCGTCTGTCCCCTTACCCTCCCGCCATGCCCCACTGCGCAAAGTGTGGTGTGATATATCTGAGCTGATAACACGCCAGAAATAAGACAAACGTTCTTACAAATAATCTGAGATGACTGACACTTTTAAACAGAGCGTTTATTCCGGAGATGAGTACAAGCTGCAAAACCCAACTTAAAGTGAAAGGATGTATATAGGTAAGAGAGGCTGCCATTCCCGCCTCAACTCTTCTTGTTGCAGCTGCTTAAGTGTCTTTGAGAATCAATTCTCTCCCCTAAAGGATCTAACTAACGGGTTGGACCAAACCTGGGCGCCCATGGTGCCCCCGCGGGGGCAGCTGCAGCGTGACGGCCACTCACGCCCCCTTTGGGGATTCCGGAGGAAGGAGAAGATCCCCGCCTCGGAGGGACACGCGGGGGCCGGGCGGGGAAGGGGGGGCGGGTCTCCTTCACCGCGGGGGCGGGGCCGCGCTGTCCTTTCCGAACCGGGAGC